ATCATTAGATTTTAAGGTTTAGTATTAAGAATAATTAATTGGTTTGCAAGGATTCATCTTCCATATTTAGAAATAATATGCATAAATGAATTATAGAGCTTATCAGGAAATTTAGTAGATTATATGGCTATTCTATATTTGATATCTTCTGAACATTTCCTTTAATTTACTTGCAGCAAACATGTAAGAAATGAAATATTTTTAAAATGTAAGATATGTCTAAATAGTTTTTTTCCTTTTTAAAAAAATAATAGATTTGAGCTTTATTCTTGCCAAATGCAGAAATTCCAAGGTTATAATCACACAAGATACATTCTTGTTTATCTTCCCCATACTTTCCATTGTAATGTCAGAGTATATTTCCACCAGTAGTTTCTGTCCTGCAGAAGCTATTGGTAGAAACCGTAAATACAATCTTAAGTGTGAACTATTTTTTTCTCTTATTTATGATATGTAATTAACATGACTACAGTAATTCTAAAGATTTGAAACTTTTTAATTTTTTCCCATGTCTCTTCAATAAGACCTACCTATCTATCTTAATCCTATGCTGCCAGACTACATGTTGATATAACATGCAATCATGGCAAGTTAGCAGAAGGAAGAAATTATTAGGGAGAACCTATCTATATTTTCAAAGTAGTGCAAGATCAGAAGAGGTGGAGAGGCAGGACCCATAGAATCGCCAAGAGTCAGTCACAACTGAACAATCATCATCATCATCTTAAATGAATTATTTTAGAATGGGTGCAGCTCAAAAAGGAAATAAAGACTTGGTTTTCGGACTTCTTATGTTTGGATATCAGCACCATCTAACTTAACTGTCAGCAATGCAAGGGTGCTTCTAGATGTTGCATAAATCACCCCCTTTTTGCTACACCAATTTATCACTTCTTCAAGAGTGTATTTTGGACAGGAAAGCAGTGAGGACAGATCTCTTACACCAGATCTTGGGGGTCATCAGAAGTTATCTACCAGCAGAAGTGATATGTGCCTCATTCTAATCTCCTCTGTGTCAATGCACTCACATTTATTCAGGTAATGCAAGAATTCACATGACTGGAAAAAGACTAGCCTTTTTATATGAAAATCTCCATGTAAATTATGTCTGTGTTTCAAACTTTGTTATTGCATTATAGATTTCCTTACGATGAATATTTTAGTCACAGGAATAAATACAGAAGCAGAAGCTTAAAAAAACAAATAAGCTTATTTTGTGGGTGTGTACAGATATTCCTCAACTTGTGTGTTCAGCAGCCAGTCAACAATTACAATTGTGTTCTGACCTAGGCTTCGGCTAATGTGAATTCCTATCATTCACATCCAGCAAAGTCCCTGCAGACAGTCCTTCAAGGATGAATTATAACCACAGACCTTATCAAGCTTGGAGAGCTACCAGGTTGATATCTTCCAAGCACAATGCTGTATAAGAAAATACTCAGCAAAGAGTCTCTGAGAGTCACAAACAAATCTTCACACTAATTAAATGAACTAATTGTATCCTGCAAAACCCCACTCCTCTTTCGTTCCTCTTTATTCCCTATGGGAGGGTTATTCACTGTCCACCTGTGCCTTTACTCCCAAGTCAATCCTTGTTCCTTAACTGTTCCCTTCTCCTGGCAGCTCTGCACATGCGCACATCAGAAACAGGCTCCAGCCGTTCTTCTGCCCCACTGATCTCCAACTGCAAAGGCAGCTTATAACTGTCAGAGGGCCCTGCCCCCATCTCTGCCTCCAACACAGAGCACTCATCAGAGCCTTCCCCAGACTCCAGAACTGGTCCATGTTTCTCCCCAACTTCCTCACCGTCTGATTCTACCACCAGTTCCACTGGCCGCTGACAGGCCACAACAAATGGCACTGAAAAAAGAAGATGTAGAACCATCATTCCACCCCCTGCATCAAGGAATTGTGATCATGGCTTCTTGGAAAAAGATCATCCAACAGCTGCAGTGTCCCATCATCACATGATTGTCATTTGTGAATTTCCCTGCCAGGTTTCCATAAGCAGTCAATTAGAAAGCTGGCAGGGAAGGTCACAAGTCACTCTGGTAAATCAGTCACACTCTTTACTGCCTGACAGCAGCTAGCCCTTGTCCTACTGTGTCTTCTAGGAAACTCGCACGCCCTTCACCACCCAGCAGCAGACACCCCTGGCCCCAGTGTGTACACGACATCTTAGGTCTCTGCTGGCCTGTATGTGAGCTGCTTGGATCTCCCTTAATGACCACTTATTCTTGCTGAGTGATGGCAATGGGGGAATGCCATCATAAAGCAATATGGTCTATTTGCTTTGCTTTATGACCACATTGTTTAGCAATGGAAATTCTGGTACCAATTACCATCATTAACAGAGCTCTACCTGTACACACAATTATAAACATTGACACAACTTGTTTACTTTGAAGCTGAAAGCACGAAGAGAAAGATCTTATCATAGCAAATATAGCATTCATAATCCAAAATGTATTTATTTAAATCACAACCTAAGTCAAACATGCCTGGAGGGTATTCTTTCAAATCAAACCCAGCATGTTTTTATTTAAGATGAAGGACACTTAGAACAAAAACATAAAACTTGAGATTAGCTTTACTATCAATATATAAATGTGAAACTTTATTAAAGAAGTGCTGTGAGAAATAGCTTTTGGTTTGTTTTTCATTTTCTAAAAAACAAGCCATTGTAATGTACTTTGACAGTTTTGTCAATCCCATATTTATATTCATAAATAGAAAATCAAAGTGGTTCAGTTATGTATCCTATTTTTGATAAAAAGAAAAATAACCATTATCTAAGAAGTACACATAATTTGTAAACAGTAGGTAATAATAGAATAAAACCAAGTCAGCTTTTAAAGCTGAAAGCCACAGAAACATTTTGCAATGCCTGAAGACATTTTTTAAACTCATCTAAATACCATTAAACACCTGCTTTTTTATTTTATTGACTTAAACCATTTCTAAAGAATCATAATTCAAAAAGGTAAAGATTTAATCTAAAAGCCACAGGGAAAAATTTCAACCTGGGGAACATTTCTGAAATACAATGACCACACTCCAATAAATGATGAATTTGCTATTTATTGCTTTGTGTAAAAAATAGTTTTATCTAGTGTTATCTGCAAAAGCTGCATGCATCGTTTTATTTGAAAAGAAACTATACCTAACGGACAAAAAAGTAAAAGATGCAATTTTAATTCCAATTACTGGAAAATTCCATTGGAAGCAAAGAAATATAACTGGGGAAAAAAATCAATGTCCTTCTTTAAAATATGCTTTTATAACATAAATCACCAGCTGTAGACTTGGCTACTATAAAGTTTCCATAATACAGCACAACAAATAAAGCAGTACCAAATTTATATTGATCCTAGAGAGAAACTGAATACTCCCTTGTTACTATTTTAATTGTTTTATCAATTATCATATATGTATATATATCCAATTTATAATAACTAAGGATCATAAATCAGTTAAACCTAATTTCATTTTGCTCTGAAATGTATTTCCCTCGAGATATATTTGTTTGGCTCCTTCTAAAGCATGTAAAAATAATTGATCAATGATACCTTCTTGAATATGGAAGCTGAAATATTTGATATACTAATTTCAGAATAAGTCTTATTCAAATCTGTTTATTCTAAAACATGTAGATTACATATTTAGTTTACACACTCTATTAGAATGTGATGCTACAATGTGGGGTAAGTAGGCTACATGACATTCAGACTTACATAACACATTTTCTTTTTAAAATGTACAAATAAAGACATTGTGGTTGAAATTCTGGATTTGTAAAAATCAAAATGAATGTGTCTAATTTCAAAACAATATGAAGCTGTGATTGCTTTTAAACTTTTATGATGGAAGAAGAAATAAAATATATTATGATTCAAGTAAGCTAGATAAACCTGAACCTTATGGTTCAAGCATGATAGATGAAACAAAACAAAATGCAATTTGTTTTGCCCTAGCATAATTTATAAACCCATAAACCTACTACTGCTTGTTCAACAAACTATTATTAATACTAATTGAACATTACATAGAAATAAAACTATATTGTCCTGGATACCTATTTCCATAATGGCAAATAATATAAAGCATTAAGTCAAAATATAAACATTCAATTTGCCAAATATTCATGATTCTGAGTTAACAGAATATGCACAGTGAAGTGCATTTGTGCTACATTCAATTTTATTATAAAACTAGTTTATTTTTATGAGACAGATGTTATTGTTTCTTTTTCAATTTGTACTTCTACTTCATTAATTGTCCAATAAATTCTTTCAGGTTTTTACATGAACATAATTAAAAATTGCCCCAATTATTAATGTTTTGATGTGTTCTACTGTAATTTTGCATTTTCATCATGCTTCATTATCATGGCCTACAATCTGATCAGATTTTCATTCATTCCAGCTTTGACAACATTATCAAACATCTTGCCCCCATATGCCTTCTTTGAAAAAGTTGATATTAAGCCCTGACTAACTCATCAATTGTTTTCTGAGATGAACAAAGAATGAGCTTAATCTTTTAACTTATTTTGTCTATCAAAGGTCTGTTTGGAAATAAATCCCGTGATGTATTAGATACATATATTGAAATATGCAAGATTAGTAAAAATGGTAATACCCCAAAAATGATCAAAATAAAAAAAAATCATTTGTGTTTATTACATTATTATATTATCATACCTTCCAAAGGATCCTTATTCAAACCCAGTTGACTTATGATATATCGAGGGATGTCAGTTTTAATACCTTGCCCCTCTTTTGCATGGCCTTCTGCAGCTTCCAAAAGATAGTAAAATTCTTCTGGATCAAACTCCTAATGGAAAAGGAAGTAAACATGAATTGGAGATTTTATCCTTACCCTTGTAGACATCAACTTACTTCTTGCTGCAGGAAAAGAACCACTTCTGTTTTATGGTTGCTGTTATTTTTGACTGATTCTTTATAAAAACAACTTTATGTATAGCAATTCCTATAAACATGACCACTGCTACATATAATTTCTGAAGTGGAGAATAGGAAGAAAAAATAGAATTAAACTTCTGGCAAAAAAGTCCCCAATTTACTTAATCTATCTCGTGTGTGTGTGTGTGTGTGTGTGTGTGTGTGACATTAATACAACTGAGCGAGAAGAGTATTCCACTCTTCTGCTCACAATAGAATACCGCATGCTGCCAGGCTCAAAATTTTGGACCTGGACAACCTAGAACTATGGCGCCTACAGTCTGATCTAAGCTTAGTACACAAAATTGTCTGCTACAGTGTTCTACCTGTCAACGACTACTTCAGCTTCAACCGCAATTATACACGGGAAAACAATAGATACAGACTCAAAGTAAACTGCTCCAAACTCGATTGCAGAAAATACGACTTTAGCAACAGAGTGGTCAATGCCTGGAACTCACTACCTGACTCTGTTGTTACATCTTCAAACCCCAAAAACTTTAACCTTAAATTGTCTGCCGTGGACCTCACTCCATTCCTAAGAGATCTGCATAAGTGCACCAACGTGTCTATCGTCCTACTGTTCCCATTTATTCATACTCATTTATTATGTATACATTTATACTTATATGTTTTTATGTTATGTTCATACTTATACTTGTTTTCTCATACATGTTTGACAAATAAATAAATAAATAAAATAAAACTTAGTTTGGTAATGAAATGTTTATGAACCATAAAGGACCCATTACAAGGCCATTTACCCATACAGAATTTTCTGTAAACTCTAAAGTGTAAAATATAACAGTGAATTATAAGGAATTTGATTGTTATTTTAACATTCACCAGATCATCTGATGATTAAATTTCCTTTTTCCTTAGAGTTATTCAATCCAATCATTTAAAAAAAAAATAGATGTGTAAGTTCAAGTTATATTGCATTAATTCTCTGCAATTGTGTATGTTTTCTTTGCCAAATTTTTAATCTATTTCCTAGTTGAAATTTTATGTGTAATAGATTTATTTAGACCTCAATGTTATCATAAGTATGTACATAGTTATATTCTGATGCATTACAGTACATAAGTAGTATGTCCATAAGTAATATGGTTTTTCCTTATATTAGCCAGATATTATCTGTTTCTGACAGTATCTGGGTCTTAATCAAAGTCCCAAATGTTATTCAAGGTATTGTCATGTTTTTAACCAATGTATCAGGACAAAGCATGGCAGATTCATCACTTTCTTACTAATATTACTGACAATTGGCAGACCCTAAAGAGCCTGCAAATCCAGTATTTGCTTTGAACATTTGTTAGATATCTATTAAATCAGATGTAATAAAGTTGTCCTATTTTCAGCCAGAGCCAAGGATAGTCCTCATCATTATTAATACAGGAAATTGCTCATTTTATTGGACAAGTGTATATTTAATGCTATTTAAGTTTAATCAATACATGAACTTTTATGTTTATGATTTATATGCTATACTTCACTAGCTGTCAAAGTTATCTAAAGCAAACATAATCTTACCAAACATTCAAGTAAACGAGCAGGACGTGCAATGACAATAAGTATTTTTCGAACAAGCTGCTTAATAAATGCCAATTCTCCACTTTCTGATCGTTCTTGGGCCTGTTAAAAAGCATTAAAATAGTCTTGATATTAAACATGGACACAAAGAAACACTAATATGATACACTAAATATAATGAATTAAATAAACTATATTATTACAACATTATCTCAACAATCTTGAACATTCGAGAAAACCAATATATTCGTAAGTGAACAATTACTGTTTAGCATAAATTATTGATTGATATTTATCATTTGTTAATTTCTATGGTATAGGAAATTAATACCTAGAGAGATAAACATCTTAGTCCAAATTAACAATGAGAGCTAGAGAAGAAATTATAGAAATAGACATAATGTGAAAGGACCTCTACTGATTTGATATATTAGGGCAGTTCTACCAAAATGTGTGACACCAGAAAGTTTGGATGTGCCCCCCCAAATACCCTTAATTTAGAGAAGTAACAATAAATGAATGATCTAAGTGAGATAAATGGGGAAATAAATTCTATATTTTGTACTGCATCCAAAACTGACTTGTAAGGGTAGACTTCCAAAAATCTAACAAATGCAACCCCACCCCCACCATATGTTTTTTCCTGGGTGAAATATTCTTACATGCCTTTGTTCATATCTCAAGAAGACATTTTTTTTGCTTCATTTCAAAGCAGTTTCAGGATGAAGTTCAAATCCCACACACTACTTACAATGTCCAGTGGTGGACAATTATTTGGATATGGAATTGAATAAAACAGATTACAAGTCACTCCTTGACATTTGGTTTTAAAACATTTGTATTGTTCATGAATAAAAAGTTTGTAAATATTTATAATTAAGATAAAAATAATAACAGATTTTGAATAGATTTAATTAGTTTATAATTCAGCTTTTCCAAACATTAATTAATTATAATAATAGAAGAAATTGCTAAATTATTTTAACTGTCAAAATTTCAGAGATATCTGTCTACTAAAAGCTACATACCAAATATATTACTATCAGTATCAAAGGCTTAAATGAAACTATGAACAAAGCTTTTGTGAAGTGAAAAAATGCCAGCAATAAAACTCAGTTAACCTTGACCTGAGAACTCCTGAAATGTCAGCTAAACAAAACTGTTCAAATGCCTTGTGACTTCCCTAGGCCATGCATTGCAATCACAATGTGCCAAGCAGCAGGGGACACAGCCATCACTGAATGTCACAGCTGGGGACTGACTGAAATGTATCACCAAAATACTAAACTGTATTCCCACAGTCTAGTTCCAAAAACAGCAGGCTTTCTTGCAAGACTACATGGTTGATAAACACAGTAAATCAGACAGAAAATAGAGGATACATAAATGAAAACCATAAAAATGCCATTTGATTCTAAAGATACTGTTTATAAATGTGCTTGGGAATCAATGGTAACCTTATCCATAAATTAAGAATATCAAAATCATTCCACTGCACTAAAGCATTAGGTAAAAACTGAAGCATTATTTCAATATGTTTCTCCTTGCTGATTTACCACATAAAACCATACTTTTCAGAAATATTTGTTGACATTGTATTGGAATGGGTAACATAGACTCATTTGCCTATAAAACATAGAAACAATTATTCCAATCAGTCAAATACACTGACATGCAAAGTACTTCCAAAATTATGAAACCTTCATGCAATTTACTCATAAATTTTAAACATCTAAAGAATATTAACTAGCAGAGTAGTTGACAATGATTCCATGCCAAAGAAAAGTCTTGAAAAACTGTAATGGAATCAATATCTACTAGCCAAAATGTCAAAAAAAAAATATGTTTACTTCTGAAAAAACCTTGCCTAGAAAACAGCAGGGACTAGTCCAGGCAGTCACCAGAAGTAAACAGTGATTTGAAGGCACAAAATAAATAAATAATCTTTGCTCAGCAATTTATGAAACTTTAATTGATTATACCTCTTGTAGGAGTTTATCCAATTTGTGCTGTAATTCAAAGAAATATCGTGAGGTAATAAGACCCTGATGAGATTTATCCAAGCAATCACGGCCCAGTTCAATGATCTGATGGTGGGTGAAGCTGAGCACTCCATCTGCCAAAGGAAGGATGTTCTCAGGAGAATGGTTGGTGATAATCTCTTGAAGCCTTTCTTCCATTTGAGCAGTAGCCTGTATAATTTATGTTTTTTAGACTTAATCAAGGTATTAATGAACTTAAGCTTCTAAATCAAATTTTGCACAAAAGCACAGGCAAAAACCAAGAAATTTACCTTTGAATTATAAATAAAACACTGAACTTAATCAGATATTAATAATAAAGCTATAAAGATAACACACACAAAAATAAAACTATTTAAAATATTTGAAAAAAACTATTAAAAATAAATAAAATATAACCCTATAAATTAGGAAATGTACATATGTATAGTATATATAGACTTATTGATTCCAGATATATATTCCTGCCATGTCAATAAGGAAATCTTTACAATTTAATGCTAACATAAAAGTCAAAAATAACTACCTTTTCTGGAACTTAAAAGAACAAAGCTATCTGGGATTATTTTAATCTAAAACATAACACAATGTTTTTTCATATGGTTTTCTTGTGAAATTAGCACTAGATACAATTTATATTTTTGTTACCTTAGGAAACCTTTCTTTGTACACATGGTTCATCATAATAATTTCATGATCACAGCAGGCAGGAGGACGTCCAGGACTGCAAGCAAAGACATTAACCCTTGAATCTCATTCTAAATTAACTTAAAATTTATAGTCCATATTTTCCACTGATAGCCAGTCAGTTTATTACAAGTCACAATCTGCCCAAATAATGGGACCAGGTACTGTTTATTTTTCCAATCTGCCAACAATATCTTATTTTACTTGGTTGCTGTTTCATTGCCAATTTTTGACTATGTTTTATTAGTACTTTGCACCTACCACACATATACAGTTAACTTATAGCATTATCTTTTTTTAATGTACTTTTCCTTTTTTTCTCCTGCAAGTTTGCAGTTTTCTGAAACCTGTTAATGTTTTAACTTTCTATTAATGGTGCCAAATTGTCTACATATTAGATAAAACACAATATCTTCTAAAAAAATTCCAATACATTGAAAAATTTTAGACTACTATTAAGCAATTATTTCATGAACCATTCAATATTCATATTATTACTAGTTAAGTTTGGCATATTCATATATTGATAAAGATATTAAAATATTATTAATTTAGGAACTGGTAGGACAGAGATATGCTGAAGCCAGCTCTGATATTTTGTTTCTTATAATAAAGGTCATAGCTAATAAATACTATACTAGGCAAAAAGGAGAAAGGCTACTGTAAAATTCTTCTGATTTATCTTATGCAATGTTCAGAATAACACTTTAAGAGAAAAACTTTTAAGCAAGGTTACCTCTTAATATACAGGATAAATTAAAATAGATGAATGGACTTCAGCTCCCAGAATTCCTTGGCCGGCAAGATATACCCATCTTAAAGTTCCCAAGGTTGAGACTTACTTCCTAATATTATTCCTGATATTAAAATGCTACAATGTTCTTTATTGCCTTTGGGTTTATTTTATTTATTCAATTTCTATAGCCTCCCAACTCAACAAAGTGACACTTATTCCAAGTACGATTAAAGGAACAGTCAAACAAGTGTTCCTGTGTTTTTTTTTTAAATTATTACCATTAAATATTTGATAAAACAATGTACTGTATTTATGTGAATTCAATGAATAGGTGAAAAAGTATATCCCTCGGGGAAAGATGGATAGTTCAGAAATGTGAAAAATAAATAAATAAAATAAAATAAATATCATGAAATTGATTACTTTTTTGTGATTTCTCCACAATTTGGCATACCTGGAGACTAAGACTATAAGAATTTTGTAGGTATTTTGGATTTTTATCAGGAAAATTATTCTAATAAAAGAAAATATTTACATGTATATAGAAACACAAACACACACAATTACAAAGTTCATAGTAGGAGGTGGACTTTTATTCATTCCAAATTTAAAATGTTAATCAAAATACTTAATGAGTAAGTTATAAATCCATCAAAATAAAGTATCCATTGCAAAAATGGGACCATCAATATTTATCTCTTCTCAGATTAAAATTCCTCTCTGTCAAACAGAATGTATCATGGCAAGACCTGATTATAAAACATCAGCTTACCTTTATCAATCTAGCCCTGTCTTGTCAAACAATATTTCTTTTTCCCATTCATCCAAAATCTATATACTTCCATTAAATTCTGATTAAAGTAATAGATGATACCAGAGAAATCTGATCAGGGTTCACTGCATGCTTGCATTAGATTGACTTGGTTATTCTGACACACAAATTACGGTCCCCTGTTCAATTATATTGTGCTACTATTCAATAAAATTAAAGTAGTGAACCACGAACATAAGAATAGCTTTTGCCTGCAAAATCTCTATTCCATACACTGTATTCTACTAGTCATGAATACAGTATTTTATTAAAAGTAAAAAGTACTCATATGTTTTAATAACAAAATATATTTACATGTTTTTCCTTAAATTTGGAGATTTCAAATAATTTACATTGTCATTCAATATATGTTTAAGATAAAGATATATTTAATATATCTTATATAATACATTTTTTCTAATGTCCATTGCTAACCATGTTTCTAAAGATTATTAGACTAGAAATTCACCAGAATAAAAATTACAAACTTAACAGTAAAAGTCTAGACTTTATACAAATACTGCAGAATTATACAGTGAAATGTATCTTTTGGAATCTATTTTCCTTTTAAAACAACAATATAAAACATGATGGGTTAAATTTTTACTGGCATCTCAAACACCAGTATAATATTCGTTATTATTGCATTATTGTTTATTGTTTATTATTATCTCATTAATAATATTGGTGTGTGGGTGTGGGTGTGTGTGGGTGTTCCGATCATTTTTTCACAAGTTCCTATACCAAGATACAAGTCATACTTCTAAAAAAAAAGTAAACCTACCTGAGGCTTCTGGATCGTGGCCTCATTTGAGTGGTCCTACATCTATTATCACTAGCAATACTTTCAGTAGCACAGAAATGTTTAGATAAAAAATGAAGTTCGTCTGGTGTTGGCTGATACGGTAACTGGTGTAACTTCTCTTGAGAAGAACAAGATGACTGCAATAAACATGTGAAATATTAATTTGTACCAATAGTCAAAATAAAAATCTGCTCTTCTCACTTATCAACAAGGTTACAGTATACAAAGAAGTTTCTTTTTACATGTAAATGTACAATATTGCATTTCTAATATTTTCCATACTGACCATAAAATGTGCTAAATCAGAGCACTTGGAATTTAAATTCACAAATTAGAATGTTTCCTTCCTGAAAAATTACTCATATTTATGATTTTGTTTAAAATATAACATTAAAAAAAATTAACTGTGAAAAAAGCTATTAATGAAAAACAGGTTTTCTCTTAATTATATGTTTACTATCTCATACATATTCTAGTGAAATAAACTTGGCTCAGTTTCAAATTGATGAGTATTTAGTGGAGAATCTCTTCAATGGCACATAATGTAAAATCTCTCTGGAAACCTCTTGCCAAAGCACTTCATTGTAAGATTTTTCTAAAAGTTTTAAAATAGCAGAATTTGATAAATAACCTAAGAATGGAGGGATGCAATTAATCATAACTCCTTCTGCTTTATTTGAATACTGTTCATCATAAAAATAAATATTAATAAAGTTGAGTAATTAAGATAATATTGCATAATATTAGGAACCAAGCATATTTTCCAATAAATATGACACTTTATTAAAAGATGGATTTATTTCAGGGAAAGTAATTCAAATTTATCAATGCAAAAATGACTACCTAATGGTTAATTCAGCATTAAGTCTTACGTAGATAATAATAAAAGATTAGAAAAAATGTCATACAATTCTCACTACAACAAACAGATCTTACTTTCCATAACTCAAACACAAGATTTTTTAGAGTAAATATTCAAAATATTCAAAGTCTAATGGATGGACTAATCTATCAGCTGTATATTTAGGTCACTTAAATCTCTGTCTCATTTACCAACGTGTTCACAAATTCTATTTAAGATTATTGAAATTCTCACTCACATAACCTGTGATTGTGGCCATATAAGAATAAATACTCTTTCTTATATCATGTTATTTAGTTAGTTAGTTAGTTAGTTAGTTAGTTAGTTAGTTATCTATTACAAGTTTTCAGGTTCATATTGTTCAGTTATAAACTGTTTTAGATAGATTGAGGCTAGCCGCTAACCTATGCTATCAACATAGAAACCACAGACTTTTCTTCAGCATTTCCATTATAATAGATAGAAAGAAAAGAAGCAGTTATATAGGTGAGCTACTCAGTACTGAAATTATGATAAGTATTTAATTTAAATCAGACCAATTAAATTTTATTTGAATAATGTTTCTAGAATTTTTATAAAAGAAAATAAATAGAAATAGAAAATGAAGAATAAAGTGGTAAAAATGTGCAAAATATTTTAAGTTCAAATTTATTGGAAAGCAAAATATCCTGCTTTGACCTTGAAATATAGCTGTTCCAGTGCTATTCTGATCTTATTCAAAATGTTGGCTAAAAATGTTTTGTTCTTGGAATGTGCGGCCCATTTCTGATATTCCAATATAGAAATTTACACACCCAGTTACTGGATTTTCTAGCATCATCATTCAATTTCTATCTATCTAGTAGAAAATATGACACAACTAGCTCTACACTTACGATGAAACTTCTCA